GAGATTCTCTCTTCCATCTCTTGTATTCTGTTGGTTATGCTTGATTCTGTAGTTCCTGGTTGTTTACCCAGCTTTTCTATTTCCAGAATTCCCACAGTTTGTGTTTTTTATTGTCTCTATTTCAGTTTTCATGTCTTGAACTGTTTAAAGTGTTCCCTTCTGTTGGGCCTAAGAAAGGCTGGGATGTGAGGCCCAGTGTAAGCTCCTGAGCCTGACTTGAGTTTTGGGCTCAGATGTGAGACTCAGTGTAACTAACCTCCTGAACCTGGCTAGAGTTTAGTGACCTGTCTCTAACCTGTAACCTCCATGTGGGAGTGACTCAGCTAGATCTGATGCAAGATTGCCCCCTGCCTAGCTACCTGCCTGCTTGGTGGAATACTATTGGCCCTTAACTCCTCATATCACCTTACTCTATCCTAAGATTCCCATCCCCTACCTCAGTCCTATATAAGTTCCTGTGTGTTGGAATAAATCGAGATCCTGCTTCTACAGACTCCCGACTCAGTGTGTGTCGTCCCCCCCCCGTAACTAATGGAGGGAGGGTCTGAGTAGTAGGCACTCACCATCCCGCTCAGCCCCCTGGAAGAGGCCGGCTGGACCGGTCCTTCCCCCACTCTACCTGCAGGGAGAGCCCTGCACCCTTCATCTGTTTGATTGTTTTTCCTTGGCTTTCTTTAAGATTTTGATTTCTTGTATTTTTGGTTTGGTTTTTCTTCCATTCATTTAAAGGATTTTTCTCTTATCCTCTTTGAGGGCCTCTATCATTTTCATGAAGTTGTTTTTAAAGTCATTCTCTTCTGTTTCATCTGTGTTAGGATGCTCAGGTCTTGCTGGTATAGAGTCTCTAAACTCCCATGATGTCATATTGGTTTTTTGTTGTTGTTGTTGTTGAATGTGTTTTTATATTGTCTTCTTCCCATCCCTTCTTCCAGTGGGTGCAGAAGGAGTCTCTTCCTCTCCTTTTGGGTAAGGGACCAAGGTTCCCTTCCGGTGGGTACAAGCAGGTCCAATAGTCTGATGGCCCTCCTCTTCCTGTGGATGGAGGCAGGACTAGTATTAGAGCCTTGGCAGTCTCTGGGTGGACTGGACCCTGCTGGGATGGGATCCACAGTGCTCAGTCACCAGGCCTTACGTGGCTCCGAGCAGGGCACTGGAAGGTGGGCAGGAAACAGGCCCATGCTTACCTCATCCAGTGGGTGAAAAGGGCCTATGATGCTGGCAGTTTTGGGTGGGCTGGAGCCTGCTGGGATGGAATTCGCAGTGCCTGATTCAACATTTCTAATCTTGGGAACAATACAAATTAGAATCATAGTAGAAACTACTTGGATGGTGGATGTGGTCACATGACATCTGAGGGGACAACAAAAAGCCCCATGTATCCTCCAGCTAACTGGAACGATGTGTTTTCCTACCCAGCGTGTGCCATGCTGCAGACACCAACTGGGAGGTTTGTGACTGACCTAACCCTGGCTGGCAGCTGTAACTTGAGCATCTCCCAAGACAACATCTCAGTCAGATGTTGGGAGAAATGCACTCAGGTGACATTGCAAAGCTGATTATTTTTAAAAAGTGGCAAAGCAAACCCTCATCATGTGCCACCACTCAGCACTTTATTTCCAATTTGTCACTTGGCTGTTTGCAGCACAAAGAGCAGCTGAGATCATGGGCACTGAGGCAGAGGCTAGTCCCACAGGCCTGGGCTCCAGTGTATTTCACACTTTGCCTTTGTAACCTTGGACAAGTCTAAAAAGTCTTGTCCCCATTGACAAAGTAAGGCTGAATACCTGCCTTTGTCCCCACTGGTGCCTGTGGCCCCCTGCTGGCAGCAGTTCTGATCAGCTCTCTTTTCCATTTGTCATTCCACATCTCCAGCCAGCACCCTCAGGTGACCTCCATTCTCTCAGGGACACATGAGACCCTCCTCAGATATCCCATTGGCCTCTACATCCATACCTCACCACTGTTTTCTCCACTAACCTTACCCTGGCTACCCCCAACCCATGCCCTTCAGCAAACACCAGCATTCCCAGGACTTGAGCCCGACCCCTCTGCCAGGAATCTGCAGGATCCCCTCCTCCATCCTCACTGCCCAGCTTCATGGTTCTCCTCCGGAAGGGGCCCTGCCCTGGACAGACCTGGCAATCCTCACTCCGGCAGCAGGTTCTGGGATGCCAGGGACCAGGATTTCTCCAGACCTCCCTCCACCAGGTATATCCCCTTCCCATTTCCAGTCTTTCCTAGTCTCTAAGCTGTGCAGCCTGATGATTAGTCGGGAAACTCTACAGTTCAAATGCCAGCCGTCCCACATGTGAGCATCTTAAGTAAGCTTTGTCCCCCTTTACGTGTTTACCCCTGACCCAGGCAGGGACAAGAAACACAGAGGGTCAGGTGGTAATGGCATATGCCTTTAATCCCAGCACTTAGGAAGCAGGGTCAAATGGATCTCTGAGTTCAAGACCAGCCTGGTGTACAGAGTAAGTTCCAGGATAGCCAGGGCTACACAAAGAAACCCTGTCTCAAAAAAAAAAAAAAAGAAAGAAAGAAAGAAAGAAAGAAAGAAAGAAAGAAGGAAAGAAAAGGAAAAGAAAAGAAAGAAGGAAAAAGGAAAAACCACCACAGAAGGTTCACAGGGAAGTGGGTCCTTGGTGTGGCACATGCAGGCCATTCCCATGGGGGTCTTGTGGAACTGGTTCTCCTCACCTTCCAGCTCCTTGAGGCTGCCCATCCATCATGGCCTTGGCCCCTTCCCTCTTACCCCCTACACACACCCGAAACCAGCAATGGCTTGCTGAAACTTTTGGAGATTCTTCCTTCCTCTTTCTCATATTGGCTATTTCGCTGTCACTAGAATAAAAATGAAGAAGAAATGGGTTTTTTTTGCTCACAGCTGCAGTAGGAAAAGAATTTATCATAGCTTGGAAGGCATGGCAGCAGGGGCACGAGTGTGGCCTAGCAGGAAACAGTGACCACTTTTCATCCACTCTCAGGAAGGAGGGGGGTGTCAGGCTATAAACCTCAAAGTCCTCTGCCAACGAAGCACTTCCTCCAGCACACCCCATCCTCCCCGAACAGAGCCACCGATGGGACTAAGTGTTCAAACACGAGTCTTTGGGTGACAGTTCTCATTCAGGCTACAGCAGACACTCATCAACATCCCATGGCACAGCACTTTATTGTCCTTGGAGGTGAGAAGTACTACCTGATGTCACTCAAGAGCCAGCCTCAGGGCAGGCATACCCATTCCTCAGGTATGTATGCCTCCATATTTGTTGGGCTATCCCTGAAGGCAGAATTCGCCCCACACTTTGGATCATGGATGGTTTCACCTACAGAAAAGGCAGTGGTTTAGGGGACCAGTGAAGCACCTTGGGACTCCCAGAGATGTATAATGAAGACCTGAGCTCAGATCCCCAGCATCCATGTAAATATGGTGAGAATCTGTAACCCCAAGACTAGGAGGCTCTCTGAAGCTACTGGCCAGCCATCTTGACCAATCAGTGAGCTCCAGGTTCAGTGAGAGATGCTATCTCAAAACATCAGGTGTAGAGTTGTACAGGAAGATATTCCAAGTCAACCTCTGACCTCCACATGCATGTATACACACATGCACACACAGACATGTACATGCACCACACACATACAAATAAGGTACAGTAAGTACAACATTCTAACTTACAATGCAAATATACACTTTTGGTTTTATGCTTATATGCTGAGAAATGATGAAAGGGAAATATTAAATAATTGTTTCTGAGAGTAAACAACTTATGTTTCTGTGAGAGCAGAAATGTTATCTGTTTAGTGAAAACAATGCAATTCATAGCACATCTGAACCGAGATGTTTCAAGTGGTGTTTGCTATGTGGCCTGTCAGCCTGTACTGTGCAAAGTGCTTGTGCTGTGTTTTAAGATCCAAGGCTGCAGTGACATCACCTGAAGCCAAATGAGTGATCACAGCCAGAAATACCTCAGATTTTTTTTACAGGTTTGAGTGTGGTATTACACGTACAGAAACCTTTTTCCATAGCCAAGATTTTTGCCGCCTCACACATGTGGTCATGACACACAATTTAAGAAGCTATGGTCAGGCTGAAGAGATGGCACAGCAGTTGACAGCACTGGCTACTCTTCCTGGGAACCCAGGTTCCCTTCCTAGAGTCCACATGGCGGCTCACACCCCATTGGCGAACACTTGTCATGCAAAGGAGGCTGGGAAATGTAGCCCAACTGTGAGTCCGCAGGGGGCAGTTTCCACACAAGTTGGTAAACTGATACTCACATCTGCGTGGAATCTAGAGAACTTCGGGCCTGTGGGCAAGGTGGAGAGGGATCAATGCTTGCTCAGAGAATAACCTGTCTTCAGGTCGCATTTGCTGAGGGGCAAGTGACAGAACAAGTCAGAGTCACAGCTCTGCCCCACACTGCCCAGGAAACCCCCAAACCATAGGCTTCCTGCTCTCCAGGGAGGGACCACAGAGGGGCTCAGAGAATTGCTCTCCTACTAGCTGGGAAGTCACCAGTCCTAATGGGCTGGGAGATGGGAACTTCATTCATGTAGACCTCATTTCCCTCACAACTCATGCATCCCCTATTATCACATTCCATTTTATGGAGATCAAAGAGATTAAACACCTGTCCTAGCTCACCATCCAGGACCCCAGATTTAATTCTAAACCTACCAACCTTGACCCCTCCATATCTATGTCTGTAAAAGCCAGTTTTGCTCCATTGAAATGGACTCAAAAGTTTCGAGTCAAGCCACCCTGAGGCTAGAAGTCTGCATGCAGGCGATTGTTATCCCGGAAGGCAATCCGGTGCGGGAGACAGCTGCAGTCTCCAAGGTTTGGGACACCAGCCTTCTTGGGCTGTAAGGCCACCAGCTGGGGACGAGAACTGCACCGAGTACTCCAGCCGACAGGGGGCGCAGCACCGCGCCAAGCTCGTGCCCTACCCGTCGGCGCGCACTCCCGCCGACAGGGGGCGCCGAGGTCCACGGACCCGGAAGTGGGCCGCTCCGCCGGGGACCCGCCGCTGGGGCAGCGTCCCGCCCGCCCAACTATGGGGCCGCTGCTCTGGCTGTCGCTACTCGGCCAGCTGCTGCTGCTGCGGCCGCCGGCGACCTGGTCGGCCGGCCGCATCCAGGTCTTCGTGTTGCCCCACAGCCACATGGACGTGGGCTGGGTCTTCACGGTCCAGGTAAGTGACGGGTCCCTGAGCCCTTGCACAGTTGCTGCCCCCTGCGGGGTGCACTCGGCCCAGCCGGGAAAGGGGCTGGCCTGGGCTCCAGCCGCCACCCTGGGACCTGCTGTCTGAACCGCAGCCTTGGGAGGGCCACTTCCTGCCTCGGAGTCCTAGTATCACATCTTATTGGATGGTTCCTGAAAAAGTCAGGGCAGGGGAGTGTGTCCCCAAAGTGTGGGTTGACAGGTAACCAATCTTCAGGAGTAGCATACAGTGCGGCTTGCTTCCAAGCAGGTGAATGTCAGCTGACTACTGAGAAGTGGGCGGCCCTCTGGGGGTGCTGACACAGGGTCTAGCCGGTTCAGCTTCCTCTACACACTCCAACCCAGCCAGATGAGCTATGTGTTGAGCCTGTAACCTCGTGATTCTTTCTGTTCAGAACCTTGGACAGGGCGGCTTTTTCCGTCCATTGCCTCAGTTTCCCCATCTGTAAAGAGAAAGTGGTGATCCCTACCCATACCCCTTGGTCTCCGGATCTTCTCTTTGGTCCTTTGGGCTCACCACCACCCGCAGCCTCTCTGGATCTGTTGTGATGGCGTCTGCCTCCTCAGGAGAGCATGCGGGCCTATGCTGCCAATGTCTACACCACCGTGGTGGCGGAACTGACCCGCGGGGAGCAACGCCGCTTCATCGCTGTGGAGCAAGAGTTCTTCCGGCTGTGGTGGGATGGTGTGGCCTCTGAGCAACAGAAACACCAGGTAAGGCAGGGACAGGGGTGGCAGGATATGGGTCCCCAGGTACCCCAGGTGTCATATGAAAGTCCCAGCAGAAGACTAGATAGATAATGTGCTCAAGAACATGCCAGCTGAAGGGGGGGGGGGAGGCTGCTGCCCAGAGACAGGGTGATGTGGTCTTTTCTTTTTCTGCCTGTTCTTGGGAGGGAAAAAAATCCCCTACAAGCCAGCACTCCTTCCCAAGAGGCATGGGGGTTGGTGCTGAATCAACACCAGGTGAACCTTGCCCCCTCCCCTATCTGCACACACTGACTTTCCCCTGCCCCTGCTGGCTGTGTTTGGGATCCTTGTGGCTCAGGGGCAGTTAGTATCACACAATACAGAGAACCTGGGCAGGTTGGTGCCTGGTCCTGCCACTGGCATTTGTAAGCCATGGCTTCGGGAGATAGCTGATTCCCCTCTCAGACAGCTCATGCCAAGAATGAATCTGAAGAAACACCTGGAACAGTGCTTGGGAGCTCTTAGTTTTCTTCCCAGAATTTTTCTTTTCTTTTCTTTTTCCTGTGTAGCTCTGGCTGTGCTGGAACTTGCTCGGTAGACCAGGCTGGCCTCCAACTCACAGAGATCCGCCTGCCTCTGCCTCCCCAGTGCTGGGATTAAAGGCATGCACCTCCACTGCCTGGCTGCATTCTGAACAGTCACTGCACATGAGCTTTAAAGAGCATAAGTAACTTGAGGTAGCATACTAAGCAGGCTTAGCAAGGGACTGTTGGGTCTTTCTGGGGCCAGGTTGGGGAGTCTTGTCAGGCCTGTCAAGTCATAGTGCATAACCTCATGTTTGAGGCCCCTTGCATGTACCAGCGATGGGGACTGTCATGTAGACTTACAGAGATGATCCGGCTAGTGTCTCAAGGGTTTACAGTTTATGAATAAACAGGTGTGATTTTGAAACAGGAATGTCAGACTTCAAGCCTGCCTCTTCTGGTGGGGTCTGTCTCCAGTCCTCTGAGAGGGGTGTGGCTTTTGGGTAAAGCTCTAGGTAGGAATCTACTAGTACAGTTCCCTGGAGGCCAGGATTTTGTCTGCTACGTTCAGTGCAGAATCTGCAATAGCTGGACAGCCCCCCATATGTAGCAGGTGGCATTGGGAAAGCCACCTCAGCACACAAGCCGAAAGCACCATACAGACAGCCTGGTAGCCTATTGCCCACCTTCATGCCCATCATTTTTCTCTACCTATCCCTGCTTTCATTTATCTAACATACATTCACCAGCAAGACCACACTGAACCCAAACCTGTCTCCTTCCAAGGCGTCAGGCTCCCAAAGAAGACAGCTGAGGAACTGTTGCCCGAATAAAGGATCTGAATGAAAGGTGACAGTTTAGAGTGACAGATGGCCCCAAGCTGGATGGGTGTGCCAGGAGAGGAAACTGGTGGGACACTTGGAGAGTCATGTGAAGCCTGGGGATTGCACAGGAAAGTCTTGGTGTTCTGTTTCCTGGTTGGGGTGATAATACTGGGGTCAGCATCACCCTCATTCCACTGCGGCATGCTCAAAGGCGCTCAGAGTAGGGCAGGCTGCGGCTAACTCACCGTAAGTTATTTGAAAATTAAAAACACATTTACGGTTACAGACATGGATCTAGGTCTGAGACAGCTGTCGTGGGCTGTGTGCTCCTGGAGGACTTGGTATGCAGCGGGACAGTGTCCGGATTTTTGTGAAGTGAGCCGGGGTGGGGGTTTCATGAAGGCACCAGAGAAGGGTTTGGGACTTATGACCTGGCTGTCTTCTGCCTGCCTGTGCCCAGGTCCGCCAGCTCCTGGATGAAGGACGCCTGGAATTTGTTCTCGGAGGCCAGGTCATGCATGACGAGGCTGTGACCCACTTGGATGACCAGATCCTGCAGCTCACAGGTTTGGCCACTGTATTCACTTCTTTGTCATTGCTGATAAGCAGCAGCTGAGAACACCGGTTAAGCTGTTTGCCCGGCTTACAGTTTCTGCGAGTTCAGTCCCTGGCTCTGCTGACTGTGGGCCTTTGTTGGAGCAAAATGGCAGCAGGACCATGTGGATGAGGAACTGTTGATGTCATGGTAGACAGGAAGGAACCAGAGACAAAGTGGACCTGCCCCAACGACCTACAACCTCCAGTCAGACCCTGCACCCTAAACTTTCCAATGCCTCCCACAATAGGACCAAGCCCCCAGTATATGCGCCTATGGGGCAGTGGTTCTCAACTTGTGGGTCTCAACCCTCTGTGAGTCGCATATCAGATATGTACACTCGTAACAATAGCAAAATTACCGCTATGAAGTAGCAATGAAATAATTGTCTAATCAGGGGTCGCGCCATGGGAACTGTATTAAAGAGTCACAGCATTAGGAAGGTTGAGAACCACTGCTGTAGGGGGTATTTCACATTCAAGCCATAACAGCTACCCTGCCCCGTCACTCAGGCCTGGAGTGAGTAGAAGTGTATGCTGGCCTCCATGTCCTGAGTTCAGCCTGCTCCTCTGAGCAGGGTGCTTCGGCAAAGGGAAACAGTGATCTTCCCGGTCTACAGGGGTTTGAGTGGAGGGGTGAAAAGTCAGGGGTTCAGAGTCAGGTGACCAAGAACCATCATGGCCCCATGGACCTTGGCCTCAGGAAAGGGATGTATCAGCAAACGCCAGCTTCTTCCTTGAGAGATTAGTTTGATATGCTACTATCTGCCTCTTGAGAGAACTAAGTGGGGGTAAATTCATCTGAAGTACTTTAAGTAGAATATATGGTTCCCAAATGAATGCCCAGTGTATGGTATCTGCTTCCACCACCGGCATCACCATCACGACTGCCATCATCACCGCAGTCACCGTCACCACCATCATCTCACCACTGTCTCCACCGGGGTCCCATCACTGCCACTGCAGTTACACCTGCTCCTCTGTGTCCCTTCTCCCTTCCGTCACCTCCAGTTGCAGGGATGCACTGTGCTCACACAGTCCTCGTGGAGGCTGAGGATGCCCGGGGATCCCCAGCCTCACTTAGCACATGTGAAAACTGAGCCCCCGGGGACTGCAGAGATGCCAGTGGTTAAGAACAGTTGCTGTTCCTGTAGAGGGTCTGGGCTCAGTCCTAGACCCACATCAGGAAGCTCACGATTGTCTGCAACTCCAGCTCCGGTCTCTGTGGACACCTGCACTCACATACACGTGTCTGCCTAGAGGCACGTATTTTCAAAACTATAAATCTTAAAAATAGAGTTGTAAAAACTGCGACCCAGTGAACGAAGTGACTCAGCCAAGGACCAATAACCGGTACTGGGCTCAGGGCTGGTGACTGAGCAACAAGCCCCACGATCTCTGCACTCTGGCCTGGGCCCAGCTTCCCCCAGTAAAGCACAGAAGGACACCACAACATACCATAAAGGACATCAGCAACTTTCTTGGCTCTTTTGAAATAAGGGAGGAGATCTTCACTTGAGGCCCACCCAGCTTATTAGCCCACATGTTATCAGCTGTCTCCATAATCCGTGGTGTTAAAAGATAAATTTAAATACATTAAAGTGATGGGGTTGATTTAGACAAGCAACACCAGGCAATGCCTGGAAACATTAACAAGATTGAAGGGGGACGTGGAACGAACACCTTGGTGGTTCCTGACTGAGCTTACTCTCCTGTGGAGACGTCGCGGTCTCATGAATTATCCATCACTGACTAAGCTTGTTCTCTGGTCCTGTTAGCTACAAGATCAAATGTCTTATGGAAGAGTTAGCATGCCTTTGACTCAGACTCACTGCATCCTTCACCACAGGCTGGCACTGTGCCCTGAACAGTGAGGACTCTGCCAGTATGGGAGTGGCCTAGGGAGTTTACCTGCCCTCAACATGCTGTTGACCATGCAGCCTCTTGCTCCAACCTCCGTTTCCTGCCCATCCCGACCTGCCCCGCTGGCAGAACGATGCTTGTCTGTGCCCTCTGCCTAACACTTACCCACGCCACACACCTAACCCACCAGACCACAAGCTTCCCCCGTTCCTTGTGCCCTTTCCCGACCACCCTTGCTCTCTGTGTCCCTACCTTGCTTACGATCTGCTATCCTACTTCCAAATCCTGGCACCACCTGGGGCTCAGTCAGAGTCTCAGGCCTTAGAGAGTCACTGAGTCCCTGTTACCAGTCCATTGGGTAGCAGGAAGACTGCACTTGGAGAAAGGTTTGGGGGAGATTGTCAGTGGTTCATTCAACACATGAGTTTCTTTCTCCTATATCCCCGAACCCAGTGATTATTCCATTGTGGTGGCTTCTGATTGATGTTCAGTGAACAAATGGTCGGATAAGTCTGGCCCAGAGTGCTCTGCTCTGTAACAAACTACCCCCAAACTTAGTAACAGCCAACAGCAAACATGTAGTATGTCCACTTTCTAGATGAGGTACTCAAGGTGCCTTGGAGTTGTCCTCAGGGTGTCAGGCCTGGCTGCATAATCTGAGACAGGAAGCTCCCTCACCTAGTCCTAAGGGAAATGAGCCACACACATAAGGACCAGTGCTTTGGGTTCCTCTTACAGGAGACCCCAGACTCCACCAGATCAAGAGAGACATTTAGAATGCTGCTCCTGGGGGGTGGGAAGTTATGTTTTAGTTTTGCAAGAATCAAAGTTCTGTAACTGAATGATGGTATTGTGAATGTACTTAAGCCTAGTAAATTGAATTCAATGTGCTCAATTAAGAGTTAAGATCAAAACCCTGCTCTGCCACCCTGACATGCTCAGCCTCAGAACTAACACTGAAGCTTCACAGGGTACCCAGAGAGTCGGGGTGAAAGTGGTGGGAGAGACCACCCTGGCCAGCCCAGCTAGGTGACCACTGTCTTTGCAGAAGGACACGGCTTTCTCTATGAAACATTTGGGATTCAGCCACAGTTCTCCTGGCACGTGGACCCCTTTGGTGCATCAGCGACAACCCCGACCCTGTTTGCCATGGCAGGCTTCAATGCCCATGTCATCTCCCGGATTGACTACAACCTCAAGGATGCCATGCAGGAAGCCCAGGTATGTCCCACGCTATATCTGCTGTCACCTCCTCCTGCCTTCCTGCCCTTTACTGGGCTTCATGGCAACTGCCTGACCCTAGCCTGCCTCCTGTAGCCGCCTCAAAGGGTGGCCTCTGCCTCTGGGCCTTTCCACCCTTTAGCTGGGCCTGAGCCAGGGTTGGCTTCTTCCCAGGGCTGTCTGTGAGGATTGGAGCTGAGCTGCACTCTAGAAGTGTGGATGGAGGACTAGAGGGACAGGCAGAGCATTCAGCTGGGGACGTCACACAAGCAGCCACAGTAGGCTGACTGTGTACTAGGAAGGACCAGGCCTGGTGCCACCTCCATCCGCCCTGGACCTGCTTGGGAGGTGAAGTGTCAGCTAGAGGCTGCAGGTGCTAGGCCAAGGCGGTGTGTGCCCGTGGAGTGGTGGTGAAGGACAGGGTGCTGTTCCTGAAGGCCAGGGCTGCGGTCTGCCGTAGCCTCTCCCCTTGGCACGCTGGTAGCCATTTTCTCCTCACATCTCTACCGTGGTGCGCCATGTCTATGACTCCCACCCCGCATTTTTCTCTCAACAACCTTTCTTCTTCTCCCTTTACCTCCTCTCCTTCCCCTCCCTTCCCCTCTTCCTCACTGCCTCCCCCTCCTCATCTCCTCTCCCTTTCTCTCTCCTCCCTTTACTTTTTCTGGTCTGTTCTGTTCTGTTCTGTTGGTGCTAGAAGATTACAGCTGGGGCCACCTTACAATGTTCAGAGAACACTCTGCCACTGGGTCACATCCACACCCTTTCCATCTGGACACCGGCCCTTCTGTGTTAGGAACCTTTTTTTTGAGATGTATTTTATTTTTAATTACATGTGGGTGTGTCTGTGTGCAGATTATGTATAGAAAGGCCGGAGGGTCAGATGCCCTGGGCCTGGAGTTACAGGCAGTTGTGACTGCCTGGCATGTCTGCTGGGAATCAAACTCCAGTCTCCTGAAAGAGCAGTTTATGCTGGTAAGCACAGAGCCATCTCTCCGGTCCCAGTTAGGACCCTCCTGATGACCTCATGTTGACCCAGCCACTCCACATGGAGTGCCATTTGTGCTAACAGAGAGCATGTCTTTGTGCGGGGCTTTGTTAGAGTTATCCTGCCTTGCAGATGGGGAGAGCAAGGTTCCAGAGGAAAAGATATCCTATGCAAGATTGCCCCAGGAACAGTGGTAGAGCTGGCCAGCCAGAGTCACACAGTGGTGGTGTCTGATGCAGGAAAGCATGATGAGGAGCATTTCGTTGTCACCTACAAAAGCACAGGCTACTATTCCTGAAGCTGAGCTCGTGCACATTGCTAATTTCACCCGTGGATGGCCCTAGAGTACTGAGCGTGGCTTCTCCCCGTTTTTCACTCAGACACCAGGTCAAAGATGGGTCTGGGGGTTTGTACAGGGTCCCCAAGCAGTGCTGAGAAGAGCTGGCTCTGGGACCGCAAGCCTGTCTTATGCCCTCTGAGACTAGACTGCACAGTAGTGAGCTTGCCATAGCTGGGGGTATTCAGACAGAGTAGAATGAGCTCCTGTGAGGCCTGGCCTTGGGGAGCTGGCACTGAGGAGCAGGTGCTGTGGGGACACGTGCAGCTCCAGAAGACTGATCTCCCAGCTACAGGTGACCCTGGTAGTACCTGGCCTGAGAGAGTCTTACAGAGGTGGTGACGAAAGGGGGCCTTGTCCCTGAGCCTCTGAGAGAGGCTAAGGGTACAGACATGCCATGGAGGCGCAAGGCGGCTGAGGGAGGAGGACCAGGATACAAGCATTATCCTTGCCCCTGCCCTGTTGTTCCTGGTTCACAGGCGCTGCAGTTTGTATGGCGCGGGTCCCCAACCCTGTCAGAGAAGCAGGAAATCTTCACTCATGTCATGGACTGTTACAGCTACTGCACTCCCTCACACATCCCCTTCTCTAACAGGTAGGTGTCCCTGTCTGCAGCTGCCCTGCCTAGCTGTGACACCGTCTGCTCCTGGGAACAGCTGCGCAGGCCCTGGGCCCTGGGGATCAGAACAGCTTTTTTTAGCAGTAGCTCCCACAAGGTTTCCCATGTCCGAGTCTTCCAAGCATGAGGGTGCTTTACTAGTCCAAAAGCCAGGGGTTGACATCTTAGAAAACAGAGGTGACTCCTGAGGTGTTGTCCCCAAGGTTGTCCTCTGGCTTCCATATGCATGCACACATGCCCGCACACATATACAGGATGAGGGATTTTTTTCAGGTGTGGGCTTATTTGTCTCCACGTGTGCCTGGCTTTGTGGGGTCAGCTGGAGAGTCATTTGTTAGCTAAACCTGTAGTTCAAGGTCCTTGCCCCCATCAGGGATCACAATGTACAGGTGTCTGGAACGCAAAGGGGCACCGTACTGTCTCACAGAGTCAGCGGGCATGCGCCCTGCGGTGAGGAGGTCCCTCCGCCAACAACAGACAGCCTGCACTCTCAAGTCTGGCAGGCCGAGGTTCAGACCCTGCTTCTGTGCCGTGCACCTGCAAGTCCCCTTATGAGGTGCTCACGGCCTGGGAGTGGAAAGTGAACACGAGGAGGTGGGAACTTGCCATTTGCCAGGCCGCTCTGCCAGGCACGGTCTCTAGCTTCTATGCCACAGATTGTTCCTGTTACTCCTCCCATCGTCTCATTGTTTACCAAGGGAAACAGGGCTTGGCAAAGGTGGTCTGGCCATGGCAACAGGGATCTCATGACTGCCACTCAGTGCTGCATGGCATGAACAGGGGTGGCAATTCCTGGGCTTCTCTGGACCCTGGAGGCCGGGAGAACCTGTTAGAGAGAATCCTGATGCTGTATACTCATCACAGATCTGAGGGTTGGTTTTGAGAGGGGATTTTTTTTTGGTATGGTTGGGTGGTTCTGGTTTGATTTATGTGTGTGTGGGGTGTGTGTGTATGTGTGTGTGTGTTTCAGATTTTTTTTTCATTTTATGTGTATGGGATGTTTTCCCTACATCTATGTGTGTGTACCAGTGCCTGCAGGGGTCAGAAGAGGGCACGGGATTCCCTGGAATTGGAGTTGCGGGTGTTTGTGAGTCTCCATGTAGGTGCTGGGAATTGAACTCAGGTCCTCAGCAAGAGATGGCTTGGGACTACTAAACCATGTCTTCAGCCCCAGGGTTTGTTTTTTCTGATGCAGTTTCCCTCTGTAGCCCATGCTGGCCTTAAACGTGTCTGAGTCTTCCTGTTTTGGACTGGTGAGTGCTAGGGTGACAGCTGTGAGGCATCACTCCCTGCTTTAATTTTTATTTAATTGCATTAAAATATTCAGTAGCTTAACGTCTGATATTTGGGGGCAGTTTTTACCCAAGATGAATCTTCACCCTGGCCTCAGCCAAGCAAGGTGGCGGCTTATAGGAGCCAAGGCACAGGTGACCCTCATCTGATCCCCATTTGGCCATTGTGAAGGGGAAGACAAGGCAGCTGGCTCCATGTGGCCCTGAAATGATATTCCCATGATCCAACTGGCAAACCACACTCAGGGCTAAGCCATCGGTGTCTCCTGCTCTGCCTCTGTTCCCCCCTCAGGTCTGGATTTTACTGGAATGGTGTAGCTGTCTTCCCGGAGCCACCCCCAGATGGCGTGTATCCCAATATGAGTGAGCCCGTGACTCTAGACAACATCCACCTATACGCAGAAGCTCTGGTGGCCAATGTTAAGCAGAGGGCCACGTGGTTCCGGACTCCCCACGTCCTCTGGCCCTGGGTATGGCATATTCCACTTGGGTGTCCTCAGCATGACCAGGGCCTTCATTGCAGCCTGGATGTGACCCTGTGACAGGAACAGCCTGCACATGAGACAGACTCTAACCTAGCCCATCTCTACGTGGTTCTCAATGCTCCATCTTTCCCTGCACGCCCCTAGGCCTCACCCACTATTCCACCCCACCCTGCTGCCCCTCCAGGCTGATAGATAACCTCACAGCCATACCTACCTCTACTCCCACCACCCACATTGTTTGGGCTGAAAACCTGACTGGCCTTCTTAACTCTCCATACATCAGGCCCCCCATCTCCCCATCTGTGCACTGGATTTATAGTGCTACCTGCCTTGAGGCTCGGGAGAGGGGCATTCCTGGGGGACAGCCCCACACCCCATCACCAACTTTATTAAACTACCAACTGCTCTGCAGGGTATTTGTCTCATCCATCTAACTGGTACCACTAAACCCAAGAGGAAGGCATTTCTGAAATCCATTTTGCAGGAAGGATCTGAGACTTGGAGAGATTAAGGAAGTGTCCCAAGGCCACACAGTTACTTAGCAGAGCAAATAGAAAGGGGGAGGGCTTCTGTATGGAGCTGGGCAGGTGACCCACAGCCTGCCTTCCTAGTCCATGGCTGCTTGTGGTCAGGACATGTGAGTCACGGCTATGGAATAATAATAATATCACATTATCACAGTTAGTCCTAGTGATGGTTACTTAGGAAAGGCCTGACAGCTATAGGAGTCTTTCCAGTGTCCTTGTTGGCCAAGGAGGGTCAGCATGCTGCTGGGGATGGCAGTGATAAGCCCTTTTGCCTGGGCAAAGGCTCTGAAGGTTCTTAGAGCTTCAGGCCACTGCTCTGTGTCCTGCAGGGATGTGACAAGCAGTTCTTCAATGCCTCAGTGCAGTTTAGGAACATGGACCCCTTGCTGGAGTACATCAACAACCGTGCTGCCCAGTATGGCATCTCAGTGCAGTATGCCACACTCAGGGACTACTTCCAAGCCTTGCATGCCTCCAACATGACCTGGGGCATCCATGACCACCATGACTTCCTTCCCTATTCTTCAGGTATGAGCCTCAGGAGGCTGCGGTGCGAGTGGGTGGGAGTGGCAATTTAGTATCGTACAGACCTTTCTCTGAGCTCAGTGTGGGCTGGGGGTGGGGGGGGACCAGGATGGTTCTCACCTGCTCTCCCCACATAGACCGCTGTTTCCCGTCCCCACACTTGTGCAGTCACAGGGCCCCCTCCTAGGAGTGCCCTTATGCCCGCTCTTCCTACATGCCCCTCCCCTCGGCAGCACCTTCTCACACTGAGGGCAGGCTGTTCAGTGCCTCCCTTTATTAGAGCAGCCATACTGTCTTCTTGCTGTTCTGTCATTGTCATTGTGAGGGACGTCATCTGTTTCTTACCTGTGTCCTCAGGCCTGAGCCTAAGCAGACTTCAGCATTCAGCCTCTGCTGCCAGGCTGGGTAAAGTCTGGGACCACCAGCCTCATAGTAGGGACCCTGATGGTGCCATTGTGTCCCTACGACTAGAACTATGACTATGACTATGACTATGACTATGACTATGACTATGACTATGACTATGACTATGACTATGACTATGACTATGACCCATCCTGTCCCTGTTCTGGATGCTCCACAATATAGTGAAGGCATCCAGCTTCAGCACCTCCTGCTGGCAGCTACAGCAGGCAGGCTGATCTCCTCTGCCTAGCTTCTAGCAGAGAGCCAGGACATGTTGAAAGCACTTTCCTCAGGCCCTGTGTCAGAACATCACAGAGTAATGCTTTGTGTCTTTGCTGTGGGGCTGGGGTACAGCTCTGTGGTAGAGCACTTGTCTAGCATGTAGAAGACATGGGCTCCATCCCCAATGCCAAAGACAAAATGCAAATTTCTTGGTTGCATATGTCACAGTCTGTGAGGGGCCATATGACCCAGTTATGCCTTTGCCCAGATACGGAAGTCAGGCAACATTGGTAGGATGCTGACTGCCACGCTTGAGCAGGACAGCTAAGAGGTCAGAACAACCATACCTCCCAGTGAGCTTTGCCCTGCTCACCAGTCCAAGACCTGGGAAGGAAACAAACTTGGATGGTGTCTGCTGGCTGACCATTTAGGACCATGTGATCAGGAAGCCAGGAGCACTGGTTTTATCAGTGAAGGATTAGGAGAGGAGACCTCTGTGAAGGTTCCTTCCCTTCTCCCTTGCAAAGTCACTGCACACATAGGCACACATAGGCTCCAACTTCAGGGTCCAGGACCTGGGTTGCCTGCCCCCCTTGACTCAGTTGCTGTAATTCTCAGGCCCCTTGTACCACACTATTTGCAGACATGGAAGGGATGGGGGCAGGAATGTGGGCACCACCACAACAATAGTAGGATAGGATGTGTTTTGTGAGAATAGTTAGAGTCCAAGTGGGTGAGGTCTCATCTGTGGGCATCATTAGAGATGTGGGCATGTCACATGCGCATGGCTGAGTGGAGGTGGCCGGGTACAATACAGAAGTCAGTGTGTGGATGGTGCCGGACACACAGCTTGGGGAGCAGAGTTACAGTGAATTCCTAGCCTCTGTCCACTCGCTTTGTTGGTGCTACTTGACTACCCACCTATGGCCTTTCCTTGGGGCCGTGTGACCACTCTCTGGAATCTGGTCCCAGTCCTGTAGAGAAAGCCTAGGAAATAGAGGAGGAAGCTGGACCTGGAAGAGGCGAGAAAACAAAACTCACAAAAGCCTAAGACCTGCCTTCCAAAAAAGGAGGCTGCCAACCGGGTGTTGGTGGCACACGCCTTTAATCCCAGCACTCGGGAGGCAGAGGCAGGTGGATCTCTGTGAGTTCGAGGCCAGTCTGGTCTACAGAGTGAGTTCCAGGACAGCCTCCAAAACAATACAGAGAAACCCTGTCTTGAAAAAATGGGGAGGGCTGCCTCCACCCTGGTCACTTGCTCTGCCTCTGACATAGACCACTGTTTCCCGCCCTCACACTTGTGCAGTCACAGGGCCCCCTCCTAGGAGTGCCCTTATGCCCACTCTTCCTACATGCCCCTCCCCTCGGCAGCACCTTGCTGACATTCAAGCTTACCTGGGACTTCTGAAGCCCACCGAGTCCCTAACCAAAGTGTCTGTGGCTGTTCAAGGCTCCTCATTGCACGCCGCCCACTGAAGCCTCACGTCTCCCTCCCTCCCCCAGCTCTTCCAGCCCTTCATTTGTGTGGAGGCTGCATGTTTCCTAAGTATGCCATGGGCTGTCTTCTGTCTATTGTGGAACTGCAGCACCTACCTTGTCCGCAGTCTGCCCAGCGTAGCCTGATACTCCCATCAAGCAACAGAGCCTGTCTAGAAATCCTAGGTCCTGGTGTCACCAGTAGTCCTGCATGGTGACTCTGAGTGGCCAGGCAGACCTAGTTAGTACCCTTAGCTGTTCCCAGATCCACACTCAGCTTCACAGGCTAGCCCCTCAACCTCACTGCATGTGCTTACCTCCCAGAACCATGGCAGGCCTGGACCGGCTTCTACGCATCCCGCAGCACCCTCAAGGGGCTAGCAAGGCAAGCCAGTGCCATGTTGTATGCCGGGGAGTCCATGTTCGCACGCTACATGTGGCCAAAACCCCATGGGACTATGGACCCTACGTGGGCCTTGCAGCAGCTCCAACAGCTTCGCTGGGCTGTGTCTGAGGTAAAGCCCCTGGATGGCCTACTGAGACCGAGTCCTCATGGTGTAGTGTATATCTATCTCCTCATGACTCGAGGGTCCACTGTCTAGGGGAGAAAACCGTGGTCCCCTCTGGTTGCAAGCCTGGTACTATATGAAACTGAGCCACAGCTGGACCCGTCTCAAGGCACCCAGTGGGTGGCTTCCCCAAGCTTCATGCCTGATTTTACAAAGAACGGAGAATAGAACGGCACTAGTGGAGTGCCAAACGTTCATGACTTTCCCTCTCTGGCTGCAACTTCTTCCCTGTAATCCACCTCCACAGGGTGGTATGGCAATGGAATGGCATGGTGGCCATCTCTGCCTGCCTCCCTCCCCTGTATCCATGGGGAAATGGAGACAGGGAAAGTGGCTGGGTCAGTCAGGCTGTTTTACAGACTCCTGGAAGTAAATCTCCAGGAGCTGTGCTTAGAAGAAGCTGGTAGAATTTCATTGTGTGTCAGGCTAGTGGAATATGTGGTTTCCACCAGGGGACATCAGTCTCCTGCTCTGTGAAAGGAGACGGTCCAGCTCCCCCTGGTGCAGTGGGAACTATACACCCTACACAGTGTACCAGGAGGAACCAGTGCACACGTGGGGAAATCACGATTGAGGGGAAGCTCGATCCCTACCAAAAGGAGGACACTGATAGGGCATCTCTATGAGTTCAGGAAAAGATGGGCCAGTTCTTTAGCCTCTTGCCTCAGTTTCCCTTCTATAAGACAGGAGGGATGCTTCCCTTCTCCTGATCTTCTGTAGAGCAGGTATCTCCCAGGACCAAGTTTGACACCCTTCTTCCTTGACTCTGGTGGCACTAGGTTCAGCACCACGATGCCATCACAGGCACCGAGTCCCCCAAGGTGAACAACATGTACGTGGAGCATCTAGGAACGGCAATGCTGGGCATACGCAAAATGATGGCCTCCATCGCCCTGGACAGGCCCTCGGTGTCTGACATAGGTAAGCCAGACCCTTGCAGGGAGGCAGTGACTTTGCATTGAAAAGAATCTTGGACCAGGAGTGGCAGCACATACCAGCACTAGGGAGGCAGAGGCAAGTGGATCTCTATAAGCTTGAAGCTAGCCTGGTGTACATAACAAATTCCAGGACAGCTAGAACCATGGAATAGAGAGGCCCTGACTCAAAACAACAACAACCTCAAAACTGGGATAGTTGGAGGAGACCAGAAGCTCACATGAGCCTGAGGCCCTGATCCCAGTACTGTGTATGACCTTGCCAACTGGTTCAGTGCTTTGGGCCCATTTCCTCATCCTGGAAACCAGGATGGACTAACGGCTCAGTTGGACTGAGCAAGACCACTAATGAGTTCTGGGTGTTTTCTAAGTCTCAAATGTTCCCTGTAGGCATTTAATGCCTTGCACTGTCTATGAGAGGGAGTCTCGTTTTTTTGAACCAAAGAAACTGAGATTTAGAGGGGTCAGGGCTCAGCTCGGTCTCACTAGCTAGGGAGAAGAAAAGCCGAAGTCTGAACCTGTACTCTGTGCTCCCTGGGACATTTTCTAGCCTAGCCCTGCCTGGTCTCTGCTTTCCCTCTCAAGCCCAGCTGGACTGCTGGTCACCTCCAGGCAACCATGGCCCAGCCTCTTTGTCCATCAAGGATCACTCCTGTAGAGTGACCCATCACACAACTGGGATGTTTAGGTTTGAAACCAGGGAAACCATGAGCAGACAAGGACAAGGCTCTAGGCCCCTTCTTTGCTCATCTTGGACTTTTTGCTGGTCCTTTCTAGCCCCTCTGGTCTCCTCACTTCCCTGATAGGATCTGGGCCGTGCCTCCCACCTTCCCTGACCTTCCATTTCTCTGTGTGTGACTCAGTCTGGCCTGTAGTTTCTGCCCAGGGCTAGCACAGGGGACACAAGTCTGATAGGAGCAACAGTGGCAGAAAGAAGAACCTGGGTTGTGACATCAGTGCCAGGTAGGGCAGTAAGGTGGGCTGTGCCTTCCCGTGAGCACACAGGTGGGCTTCCCCCAGCAGGGAGTAGGTAGAAAAGAACCAAATAGTGACTAGATAGAGGGGACAGCAAGGCCAGAGGAGGGGGCTGGAGACTGAGCAGTGTGTCCAAGAATCAATGCACAACGGATGGAAGAGACAGGGAGCCAGACCCACACCACAAAAGCCTCCTGTGCTGGCCGGGCACTCAAAGCCTTGCATCCAGATCTTACACCTCCCCCCCTCGCCCCTGCCCGAGGGGCTCTGGAAGGCCAAGTCTTACCTACTTCATATTCAGGAGCTCCCAAAAGCATCAGGAGGCCTCAAGTGACACCAATTCTCTCTGTAGACACAGGTCCTGTGGGATACTTTGCCTCTGTATACAACCCGCTGGCCTGGAAGATCACCACCATTGTCACACTGACTGTCGCTTTCCCCAATGTAAACGTCACGGATGAGTTGGATCAGCCAGTGTCAGCACAGGTATGGGGGAGAAGTCTTGCTGGAGAGTGTTTGCTGCTGTCGGCCACTTGGCAACCTTATGCAATCTATCTGGCTCTGGACATCTTTTGCTTTGTTTTGCTTTTTGTTTTTCGAAATAGGGTTTTTCAGTATTGTTTTGGAGGCCATCCTGGAACTCACTCTATAGACCAGGCTGGCCTCCAAGTCACAGAGATCCGCCTGCCTCTGCCTCACGAGTGCTGGGATTAAAGGTGTACGCCACCAATGCCCGGCATGCTCCGGGCAGAAGTGCCAAGGTTGGGGTGGGATCTAGGCCTGCCCCCTCCACACTCCTAAGACACTCAGTATAAGTCACATAGTCTGCCTTCCAACCCCTCCCACTGCCAGGATGGGGAAGGGCAAGACATACAGAGAAGTGAGTGGAAGGAAGGTCTGTTCAGAAAGCAAAACCAAAGCTTGTAAAGATGTCATCTGCGTCTTTACAGGAGGTAGAAGGATACCACTGTCCGAGTGGATGGTGAGCACCCGTTCCAGGAGTGTGAGGCAGGGTTATGGGGTGACTAAGGAGACTTCCTTCCCATGCTGCTGGCTTGCAGATCCAGAACTCTACGAATGACCCTTCTGCCTATGACCTGCTTATCCTGACCACCATCCCAGGCCTCAGCTACCGGCACTACAAAATTAGGCACACCTATGGGGACCAGGCAGACACCAAGGAACCGGTCGTCCCCCTGGCCAGTACCCTCAAGTTTAGTCCCAAGCTGAGGAACCAGACCAGCCAGGAAGTCAAGCTCCTGATACCTGTGACGAATGACTGCTATACTTTGCTGTTCGACCAGGACAGTAACATGTTACATAGTATTCAGGAGAGGTAAGCTAAAGCCAGCACTGCCTGGGAAGTGTGCCTGGTGCCTGGACAGTGTCCTATGATCCCCTTCCTGCTCTTGTGTTCCTTTAGAGGGAGGCTTGGTCACTCAAAAAGATCACTTCAACTGTCTTATTCCAGAGCCCTGACCGGTAGGCAAGAGGGACTAAGAGGCCCCACGAGAAAGGTGCTCCTGCGGTCTACTTGTCTAACTACAGAAGCTGAATTTCTGTTCAGGAAACAGTTATGCTGTTTACAACACAAAGGGCCTTTAAACCCTTTTTCCACCCACCACCCCTCACTTGTCCGTCTGTCCACTGAGCCAGCCATCTTACGCGACTGTGTATCCATATAACCAGATTCCCCCTACCCATGTATCCATCCATTCACCCACACCCGTGGGGATCAGGAGACTCTAAGGGCATGAAGTATCTCTGGCATGTGGCACAGGGATGGCTCCTGTTAGCGTGACAAATCTCCACTCTTATGCTAGTGTGGCTCCCGGACCACTAAATAGCGGTCTGGGGAAAATGCTCCCTAATGGCATCGGTGTGTAGGCTCCCTCTTGTGACTTCACCTGACAGTCCTTAGCTATGTGTGGGGTCAGAGGTTTTCCCTGAGGCTTCTGGTAACTTCCTCAGGCTCTTCCAGGGCATCTTTTTTCTCTCCTGATCCCCAGCAAGTGCCCTGCTGCAGATGAATGATCTCGTTGAAGGTAACACCAGCCATTCTCCTCTTCTGTCCCTGCAGACAGAGCAACCGCACGGTGCGCATGACCCAAGAGTTCCTGGAGTACTGGGCCAATGGAGATGTGAAACAGGGCCCCATTTCTGACAACTACATGTTTACGTCCAATGACACCGCTAAGCCTACCTGGGAGGCAGTGGGGATGGAGATGGTGGTGGGCCCGCTGGCAACCGACATAAGGCAGTACTTCTACAGGTGCCTCCCCTGGGTGCCGCAGCCCCTGCCAGGTTCAGGAGTGGGTGGGGCAATGAGCCTCTGTCCCTGTGCTTGGGCATGGCTCTGGCATGTGACTAATTAATGAATTGTTAACTTCTACCTGTGCTTTTTGTGTACGCCTTAACAGTCATGTTGTTGGTAGTTGAGTCAGAGAATGGGAGAGAGACTTTTGTCACAGGGGCCATAGTATCTTCATGGGGTTGCTGTGTCCAGTATTGCCAGGGCGCACCAGCATATAGCTGCCCTAGCTCCCAGCTTCCTATATGAAGGAGCTGGTGTCCAGCCGAACAGCATTCCCTTCTGTGCCCCCTTCCCAGGAATATAATAGACCAGGATTACATCTATTCGATTCACTCTCGTCTGGCCCATGTGCATCCGAACCCCGCTGGGGAACTGCTCTGCCAACGGATAGAGCAGCAGTACCGCGCAGGCCCCCTGGAGCTGAACCGTGAGGCTATCCTGAGGATCAGCAGTGACCTGAACAGCCAGAAGATCCTCTACTCTGACAACAATGGCTACCAGATGCAGCAGAGGCTCCACAAGGCTTTCAAGAGCAATCCCATCGCCCGGGTATGCCTGCAGCAGCTCCACACTACACCCCAGCGTGTTTTTCCTGACCCTGTTAAGCTTCTACTCATAGCAATAGAGGCTTCTTGGGAAAGCTATTTCAATGGCCCTAGCCAGCATCCTGCCCTGTGGTCTCTGCATCTTGACAGTGCCACTTCCAAGACCTATTCCCCTGTCCCCTCTTGGCTTTGTCAGAGGTTGTTCTTGATGCCATGTGTGTTGAGCACTTAGCAGGGGCCCAGAGTCCTGTCAGCCAGGCTACGTGACTAGGAAGCAGCAGACTGGGAGCTGTGCCTCTGTGCCTCAGGGACAGCTGGTGTCTGCCTGATCCTGTACTGAAGCTGCCACTGGGGGGCATTTATGTCTGCAGAATTACTACCCCATGGTACAGTCAGCCTTCATCGAAGATGACAAGAGCAGGCTGGTGCTACTGGCAGATCAAGCGCATGGTGTCTCGAGCCAGGAGAACGGGCAGGTGGAGGTAAGAGAGGCCCAGTTGTCCTCCCGTGGGCCCTCATAGCCATCCACTGCATGGCCAGGGGCAAGGAAGGACCTCAGGTGATCTCTGCAGGTAATGCTCCATCGGCGCCTGTGGAACAACCTGGACTGGAACCTGAAGTACAACCTCACGCTGAATGACACCTCCGTTGTGCACTCGGGGCTCTGGCTTCTGCTGGGCCCTAAATCCGTCACTACTGGCCTGTACCCGAGGAGCGGCGTGGCGCTGCAGCACAGGCCTATCGTGTTGTTCAGAGAGCTGACTGAAGAAGAGGCCCCCATTCAGAGTGAGCATCATGGCTGTCCAGGATGCGCCCATCTGGGCCAGTGGCCTCTAAGAGGCTCCTGCCTCAGGATGCTGGGCAGCTTTAGAAGGGACCTCAAAGTCTGTGCGCTGACAGTGGCCCCCTCAAGCTTACTCTGCTAGTCAGGGCAGAGCTGAGACTCACACCTGTTCTGCTCTCTCTCTTCCTGAGATCTCCCTCCCTGATACCTTTTTTCCTTCTTAGCATGACCCTGCATCACAATGGTATTTCAAGTGTCGAAAGCACACCGTTTAAAAGACTGACTGGCTGAGTCAGGGTAGGCTGTCAGTATGGGAGAGTGCTTCTAGTTCCAGGGGTGTCCAGCCTTCTGGCTCCTTCTGATAACACAAGACAAAGATTTGTCGTGGGCACACACATTAAATCCAGGAGTACACAATGCATGGCCCATGGCTTGTAAGAGTGTACATATTTATTTCATGTGATACCACAAAGTGACTGTCTCCTGCAAATGCTTACACTTGAGAACTGCAGTTGGTTTCCAAAATGAACAACAACAGAATCACTAAATGACCTCAGTGTCTTGGTTAAGTTTATGATCTTATGATGGCTGCACCTGTAGCTGTCCTGGGCCATAGGTGGACACCCCTGCAGAACCACCTAACCATGATCCAAGTGCAACATTTGTGTCATGCCTCCTCTAGGGCTTTTCTCTCTAGGAACGTGGCTGGCTCCATGTGCTTTCTTCCTACTCACCAGCAGAGGCTTGCATTAGAATGCTTTATTTTTTCAACCAGAATCCTCCCCAGGCATCAGAAGAAGGCAGGTGGCTGTCACTCACCCATGCGAGGAATGCTGTCTCCTCCATGCAGTGTGTAAGGTCCAGCCTCTGCCTACTAGCAAGGGCCTGGCACCTTGTGTTTGAGAGAGCATCTCTCTCTCTCTCTCTCTCTCTCTCTCTCTCTCTCTCTCTCTCTCTCTCTCTCTCTCTCTCTCTCACACACACACACAGTCAGGGTACCAGGGACCAGATGCAGACACAGTGACTGATTGGGCAGCCTGGTGAATTCATTAAGGAAGAGCTAAAGCCAAACATGGCAACCCATGCCTGTAATCTTAAAACTTGGAAACCTGAGGCAGGAGAATTGCTGTGTGTTTAAGGCCATCTTGGTCTAAACTATAAACTCCTCTTAAAAAGAGAGGAAAATATCCATGTATTGATGGTATATGCCTTTAATCCCAGCACTTGGGAGACAGAAGCAGGCGGATCTCTAAGTTCAAGACCAGCCTGGCCTACAGAGTGAGTTCCAGGACAGCCAGAGCTACACAGAGAAACCCTGTCATGAAAAAAGAATTTAAATACTAAAAAAAGTAAAAAGAGACAAATGAAAAGGAAGGAAGGGGAGGGAAATAGAGAAAGGAGAAGCTGAGTGAGAAGGCAGGATGGCTGTGGGTATCCAGAGAGCAGGTATTCCTGGTTCCTTCCTGTCCTCACACTGCACACTGAGGATGGCGGTGTGAGGTGTGGGCTCCCCCTGGTGGCTAGGATCTTTGCTGCAGGCGAAGATTCAGTATGTCTGAGAAATCTGTCTGTCTGTCTCTGTCTCTGTCTCTGTCTCTGTCTCTCTCTCTCTCTCTCTCTCCTTCAATCCCTCTTGAGCAGCTGGGGCCACCGGAGAATTTAATCTGAGGCCGAAACACCACAGGGCTGTACTTGAGCTCAGGGTCCGGAACCTCCATAGGCCGTCCCTCATCTCACCTGTCTGCCTTTCCCTCCTCCTCTCCCTCTTTCTCTTCCTCTCCCCTCCTCCTTCTCCCGGGACAGGACTATACACCTCCTTGGCTTCTCTCAGAAAACAGCTGTCTCACACTATGTAAATCGTATGTTTGTCTGTGTCGCAGAACACCTGTGATAACCAACTTAAAAGCAAGGACATTTTATTTTAGTTCATGGTTTCCTGGCCTTAGTCTGCGGCCACCTGTCTCTGCTGCCTTTGGTGGCATACTACATCATTTTGGAGAATACAGAGCAAAGACAGCTGACAAGCAAAGATGGAGAGGAAGCGCCTGGAGTCCCAGTGACCTTTACAGGGGCACAATCTAGCGACCTAGCTTCCTCCCTGGGACTCACCTCCTAAAATTCTGAAAATTGCACCACCCAGTAACCCACAGTCTGCAGACAAAGCTTTTAGCACACGGGAAACAGAAGATCCAAACCTCACAGTGTGCAAAAGGGGCTGAGACCGATTTTCAGGACTGATCCTGTTGGTTCCATCTGAATCAAGTGACCCATGCCTAGGCAAGCCCGTGTCACTTGGTAATGAAGAAAGGGACAAGTGAGCATTCTGGGTCCAGAATAGAAAGCAGGCTGTGTAGGCTTGTCTTGTGAGTGTGAGCAGATGTGTCCCTCTCTGGCCTTAGTCTCCTTATCTGGAGTCTGAAGTGGCCAGGTGGCAAGTTGATGTCCCTCCCTAACTGAAGCTGTGCACACTCAGCAGCTGGATGCGGAGAGAGCAGCATGGGGGCAGAAGAGGCCTGTGGGGTGGGGCAAGGGTAGAGCAGGGCACTGAGATCTGATCTTCAGGCTCACTGTGCTGTGGGTTGCACATGGCCAAGTGGGGCATGGTGGGAGGGCAGAGGCCCCCATGCGGACACTGAGTGCCTGAAGGAGTTAGTTGCAAAGCCTTCCTCACTATCTGTCTTCCTCGCAGGACCCCAGAACCACCGGGCTGTGACATTGCCCCCCAACCTGCACCTGCAGATCCTCAGCATACCTGGCTGGAACTACAGCAGCAACCATGGCCTGCACCTGAAGAACCTTCAGAGAGGTGAGGCAGCCTACCAGGGTGACTCCCTCCCCTAGTCCACCAGGCAGTCTTCACAGCTCCATCAGGGCACATAAGAGACCAAGGCCTGTAGAGGGGTGGAGAATTACCAGTCAGTCAGCCATCTGGGGCAGTGTGGTCCCAGCCTCTGGCCCCCAGCCCAGGACCAGCCACACTACTCTGCAGATGAATGACGTGCAGCCCCCAGGCGGCAGGCCACATGCTGCCCAGCCCTTGGGGCTGCCCTGCGCCAGTATCTATGTTGGTCAACCTTTTCATCTGATGACAAAACACCTGAGAAAATCAACTGGGGTGGACAGGGCTGATCACACAGCCATGGAGACTTCAGCCCTTCGTGGCAGGCAACATGTGGCAGAGTAGCAGCTCAGTGCTTGATGCAGTTTCTCCTTTCCTCTCGTTTTCCACATGGGCCTCTATGGGAAGATGGCAACGGCATTTAGGGTAGGTCTTCCCACCTAGCTTGAGCCTCTTGGAGAACATCAAGAATGTGCTGTGCCAATCTCCTAGGTGTCTCTTAATCCAATCAAGCTGTCAATCAAGATCAACCATCATGTGCAGACAGTCCTCCTATAGCTCCCAGGACCTCAGTTTCCACTTACCGTCAGAACTAGGACAGCCTGACAGTCGGGAGTTTCATTGACTCAGAAGATGCTCCTTTCGGGTGCCAGAGTCCTGTTTCCTGAGCTTGTTAGACAGGCTGACAATGAGAAGGGAAGCAGACATCAGGGATGGCACCCACTAGGAAACAACATTCCTCTTGTGCTCACTGTGTGTTGAGCCATGTGACCGACCACACAGCCATATGATCACACCCAACTCCAGAGGGGACAGAGAGGAACTGGAGGATTTGAGGACAGGCCCAAAGTTGGGTCACTAGAGGAATGAGGACACTGGCATCAGCCCCGTTAGTATGCTAGAGGTACAGGGCTGGCGCAGCCCATCTGGGCCCAGCCTCCGCTGCACATGAGCCATGTGACCATGGGCAAATGATAGCCGCTCTGGCGGCCAGCTGCAGGTGCCCTGAAGAGAGGCTGGGATGTGGAATGGAGTTCAAACTGTGAAGTGCCAGGTCAAGACTGTAGCTTTGAGCAAGCTTGGTGGGGTCCTCACTGCCACATCCACCCTTACAGGCCACCCAGAGAAGCCCCAGGCCAACCTGCAGCGTGTGCTGCTGCGCCTGCACCACCTGTATGAAGCAGGGGAGGACTCAGTGCTCTCTCAGCCTGTGACAGTGGATCTCAAGGTAAACAGCCATGCTTACCCCGCCCCAGCCTGTCAGGCCCCAAGAATGCCCTTCCTCTGGGGAAGCAAGTCCGGTCCTGAGCTACACCTTTGTCAGAGGATCACTGGGCATGTTCACAGATGAGACATGCTGGACTCCCATTGTATGCTCTCCCTTCAGGATGAACAAAATTTCCCAGTTAGCTCCACAGGCCACATCTGGTGCTTTTGTGTTTGATTCTGTACTCTCTGGGGGTGGGACATATGGTGCACATACATGTTTGTATGGCTCTGTGCACATGGGATCAGGACTCAATGTCAGGGTACCATCGTCTCATTTTTCGGCCTTATTTTTCAAGGCTGGTTCTCCCACTGAACCTGGAGCTCACTAGGTGGCTGGACGGACCACTGGGCCCCAGGGAACCTCCTGTCTCTGTCCTCCGCCCTCATCCCTAGCACTGGGGTTCCAGACAAGGCAGGCAGGTGAGCTACTGCCTCAGTCCACTGCAAAACCTTTCAAACAACATGGACAGTCATTTGTAACATCAGAAAACCAACCAGGACTCCCTGGACTTTCCAAGAAAGGTGACTTAGAGTCAGAGAATTGAAGGTCTGTGTCCAGGTGTGCAGATAGATCCAGCTCCCCCGACCTCCTGAGCCTCAGTCTCCCTACCAGCAAAGTTAGGGAGGTACCAGTTCTTGACTCGGAAGGCTGCAGAGAGACTCTGGGGCAACTATGTGAGCATAGTGCCCTCTGTCTCTGCAGGCTTCCAGGCACCTCTCCTGGAAGCCCTGGAGCCTGTCCTCATGTGGGCTTGCTCATCTGGCAGATCATCTATGGAGGCTCACACTGCCGGGCCTAGTTTCCTTACCTGTGAGCAGGTTGGCAATCTGCTCTTTCGGATAAATTGCTGTAGGTGCTAGGCACTGAGGCAGGGCCTCAGGACCCGAGGCACAGTTGGTGGCCACCCTTCTGTCTTGGTTAAGTGAGCTTCCTGGATCTGAGGCATCAATAGAGTCCACCCCTCCCTTTGCTCCGGCCCCTGCAGGTTACACTTCAAGGACTAGGGTCCGTAGTAGCTGTGGAGGAACGCTCACTCACAGGGACCTGGGACATGCACAGGCTGCAGCGCTGGCAGTGGAGGACAAGGACTGGCCACCAAGGTTTGGGACCCCTGGATATCCCTGCCAGGCTGGGGAACAACACAGACCTTCCCTGTGCCGGGTGGCCTCGTATAGCTACATTCCATCTCTGGATCCACAACCTTTGTTAATTACCAGATTAGGTTAACAATAGCTTTGTGTCAGTCCCCTCCTGCCAGGGCTCCACACAGGTGTGGGGGGGAGGGGGTCTGTCTGTGTGGGAGAGTGGGGGATATTTCAGCTATGCCTGGAGGAAACAGGCACATGAAGAGGCTTCCTGCCAAGGCTGGAGCCCAAGCCCCCAGCAGGACTTAAATGGAGCTGGTAAGATAAAGGACTGCTTTGCAAATGCTCCCACTCAGTCCTTAGGTGTTCAGTGCAGCCCCACAGGGAAAGCAGAATGGTGGGCAGTACACTGGCCTCAGTGTAGCCCCAGAAGAAGCTAAATGGTAAGACCCACTTTAGCAGGAGTCCTCGGAGGAGGGGGCAGCCAAGGGCCATCTCCACGGGGGAGCCATAGCCGACTAGAAAGCTGCTGCGGTGTGTGGGGAGTCCGGGAGGAAGAGGCAGACAGACTGACTCCTTGTTGTCCACAGGCAACCCTACCTCCCCAGCAGAGTCAGCAGGAAGCTCCATCATCACTGTGTACCCCAAGGAAATCCGGACTTTCTTCGTTTACTTCCAGCAGTGATGCCAATGCAGTTGGCCCCAGGGCCATGGAACTGGGATCCCCCACCCCCCCACCCCCAAAAAAGAACGATGAGGAGGGACTCAGAGGGAGGCGAAAGCTGCTCATTGGATTGCTGTGTGGCAGAAAGTAGCCATGTGGGGAGAGGATCTCTCATTTTTATTTTTAATAAAAAATTAAGGTCTGGGCTCTTCCTTCCCATGCTCAAGCCAGCCCTTCCCTCCCTTGTCACATGAATGGCCCCTCCCTGCCTTGTTCCCTTCCCTCCCTCCTTCACCCCTCCTTGCCTTAACCCTCCCTCCGTTTTCAAAAAGAGCCTTTATTCTTCAAAAGTTAATGTGAATGAATTGTTGAAAACTGGAAGACAGCAAGAGGAGGGTCAGCCACCGCTCATCGCTCACAGCAGATCTTTAGGACCTGTGTCTGAGCACAGCATGACCCAGTGTGTGCCCAAGATGTACCGTGTGTGTCTGTCATACTTCCCATACCTTTACTGATCCAAAACCCCATTATGTGAAAATGTTGGTGACCAAGAATACAGTTTACTGACTCCAACTATTTTACAGAAAAAAATCTGGCCTCAGACCTTGTGTGCAGCAAATATTGTAGATACTGTACTGGTGGAGTTGGGTTAACCTCATGCTCTTCTTAGACACAGGGTACACTGTGGGATATCATTAAGAGTGTCCAGTATCATGTTCATACTGTTAATAATGCTGCTGTGGGGGTACCCACCTGTAATAATAGCAGAGGTTGAGAGAAGAGGATTGTGAGTTCTAGGCTGGCCTGAGCTACACAGTGAAACTCTTACTGTTAAAGGGGGGGGGGCGCTGGGGATGACAGCTGGCAGAGTATTTGTATAGTATTCACAGGCTCAGAGTTCAGTCCCCAGTATTGCATAAACTACATGTGGCTGTATACACTTGTAATCCTAGCACTTGGAAGAAGGAGGATCAGGAATTTTAAGTCATCCTGAGCTATATAGCAAGTTCTAGGCCTGCCTGGGATGCATGAGACCCTTCCTCAAAACACACACACATAATTAACACTAGTGAGAAGGTGTATTGCACCAAATTGCCTCATGCGTCTCTGTAGTGCAGCCAGCCAAGATTGGTGCACACAGCTGGATTTGAGCTGCTTGCTAGTGCTTGCCCTGCCTGTGTGGGGCCCTAGGCTCATCCCTAGCACTGTCCACCCCTTCAACAGTCAATCTGATCCCAGCTTTCCTGTGTACTCCGTTCTGCCTCTGCCACCTACTGAACAAATCCTGACACACTGTTGCTGTAGCAGACGTCCATGTTCATCTTTCCTCTTAATCAGAAATAGATGCTAGAAAAGCTGCTGGCCCCCAGCTCCTCACACGTCACCTCGGAACCCCCATAAAGCCTGGTGCTTCAAAGTAGAGCCAACTGCTACAGTGAACACGGACGCCGTATCTAAAAGTGGAGACACATGCAGAGTGCTGGCAAGGGACTCTTCCCACCCCACCCCTGCTTCCCTTCTCCATTCCCAGCACAGTCCCTGCGAGCTCCTCCCCTAGCAGAAGTCCCTTCTAAGGACTAGCAGGATGTCCAGGGATCAGCTACATACCTTGAGTATTAGGCTATGTTTACCCTTCAGTAAACAGCTGGGATGGGGCAGTTGGGCGCAGTGCCTTTGTGACCAGCAGTTCTCCTCATGTTGTCCCTGTTACCCAGGAAGCAATCAACACCCCAAGGGGCCAACATTAACAACTCTGGTCCCAGAGAGCAACTGCCTTGGGATCACAAAGCCACCAAGCTTGCCTTAGCCTCTGCTGCTCTGTTGTTCCCCCAGTAGGGATGAGCAAACTGTAGCAGACAGCAAAGGCTGCAGACTGAAAGGGACTTCCAGATATGGACTGGGAGCTAGAGACATCCCCTCTCTCTTCTGCCAACCCAGGGACATGCACCCACCTGTGATACTGGGGTCTTAACGTATGTCCACTGGTGATTTTGCAAAGTGGCCCTTGTCTGTTCCCTCGCTGCACTGGTCACCATGGCAGTCTCTAGCATCTGGGAAATGAGATGCTGTGAACTAGGACCTGACTGTTCCTGACATCTAGCGTATACAGGGAACAGTAAGGTACCACACAGTGACACAGGGACATAGCTCAACCACTCCTGCTTATGCCTTATTGAAAGCCCCAAGACAGCGCTCTACATACCCCCTCCATAACATGTGTGCAAATCAGTGTCTGAGTCTCGTAAAAAGGGTTTAACCATCCTCCCACAAAATAACATTTCACTAGAACTTCAACAAAGTGACATCTATAAAATGTGTTCTGTCCCTGCATCTGCTTTTAAAAGACCTGGCACTTTATGTCTCAAAAGCCCAAGCACTTCAAGAAGGAACTACCACCATTATCACATAATACAAAAGTGCCTTCCACACATAACAGTGTGCCCATAACCCTTTCCAGTCTTCTGCCATTGTATGGGACCCCAGGTATGGTGGTTTGAATAGGTATGGCCCCCATAGACAACATGCATTTGAATTATTCGCCCATAGGGAATGGCACTATTAAGAGGTGTGGCCTAGTTGAAGTGTGTATAGCCTTGTTGGAGGAAGTGTGTCACGGCAGGAGCAGACTTTGAGGTCTCATATGCTCAAGCTACACCCAGTGTGTGGTACACAGTTCACCTCCTGTTACCAGTGGATCAAGATATAGAACTCTCAACTCCTTCTCAAAGCACCATGTCTGCCTGCATGCCACCATGCCCCACCACAATGATAATGGACAAAACCTCTGAAACTAAAAGGTAGCCCCAATTAAATATTTTTTTCTTTATGAGAGTTGCTGTGGGTTGGGCAGTGGTAATGCTCACCTTTAATCCCAGCACTCAGGAGGCAGAGGCAGGTGGATCTCTGAGTTTGAGGCCAGATAGGTCTACAAGAGCTAGTTCCAGGACAGCCTCCTGATGGGAGATGCTATTCTGTAAATTTGTCTCTTATTGGTTGTTGGATAAAGCACTGTTGGCCAATAGGGAAGCAAGATACGTGGGACTAGGAGTTGAGGAGGATTCTGGGAAAGAGAAACATGAGAGTCATCATGTAGCACCATAGAAGTAAGAGGTCCGGACCCTTTCTCCAGTAAGAGAAATACTTAGATTAACAATTAAGGGTTAAATACTTAAGTCAGAGATAGCCAGTAAGAAACCAAGCAAACAGCCAACAGCTTCATGATTAATAAAGCCTCCTGTGTGTTCATTTGGGACTGATGTGGCTCTGGAACCAGGCTGGCAGGAAGACTTCACTCTACAGCCTCCAAAGCTACAGAGAAACCCTGTCTCGAAAAATCAAAAACAAAAACCCAAGAGTTGTTCTGGTAATGGTGTCTCTTCACAGCAATAGAAACCCTCAGATACTGGGTGTCATTCCATTTCACTTCCTGGAACTGGGGCGTAGCTCTGAGGTGGTAGATTTGACTATTATGTTCCAGGTCTTATCTTCTCTCCCCACAACATCAGAAAGAAAGAATAAAGGTAGAAGGAAGGAAAGAGGTCATTTTCAGAAAATATTTCTAATAGAGGAAATCTACAGGTCCTTGCAAAGTGACCCTGTGAACATATTTCCGGGAAGCTTCATCACATTTTAGTAACATCTTCACCCCTGTCTGGCCCGGATGCTCTGGAGGCACAGAGCCCACTTCAAATTGTATAAAGCTGGCCTCCAGTAAGGCCTTCACATCTCGTGTGCATATTGACCTCACACACCTGCACTTCTGAGGCTCACAGTTCTGCCTCCACCTCAGTGTTGAGATTACACGTGTGCACCACCATGCCTGGCTCCTCCCTCGTGAGTATGAAAGATCTACTGTTTTTTTCCTAGCCGTCACTTTCTAGTGTTTGAATTGCTGCTTGGGTTCATTTGTTTGACTTTGGTCCTAACGTTTTGGTGTGAAGACCGCAGACAGGAAAGGAGTGGAACCTGTGAGTTTCCCTCATGTTTAGGGGCAGAAACCAGCGGTCTCAACCAACAGGAGCCGCTATAGCAAACTACCCCAGGTAGGCATTTGTTTTTTGCACTTCCAGAGAAAGGTATCAACAGATACCTGTTTGGGGGCTGCCCCCTGCTTTGCAGATGATTGCCTGTACAATGCATCCTCATGTGACAGATAGCAGAGGGCAAGATGAAGCTTCTGTGACTCTGGCTGCCCTGGATCTTGCTCTACAAACCAGGCTGGCCTCAAACTCAGAGAATGTCCCCCTCTATCTCCTGAATGCTGGGGCTAAAGGCATGTGCCATCACTGCCCTGCTACGGACATTAATCTTATCATGGAGGTCCCATACTCAAGACCAAATCTAGCCCTTAGTGCCTTTGAAGAGACCCATCTCCTATGAATGGTTAGGAAATCAATAGATGAATTTGAAAAGGGTCATAGGGTGGTTTGAAAGAAAATGGCCCCCAAAGGGAATGTCACTATTAGGAGATGTGGTTTTGTTGGAGTAGGTATGGTCTTATTGGAGGAAGTGTCATTGTGGGGGTGGGCTTTGAGATTTCCTCCTATGCTCAAGCTACCCTGAATGATACCGTACACTTTGATGCCTGTGAATCAAGATGTAGAACTCTCAGCTCCTTCTCCAGCACCATCTCTGCCTGCACGCCACCATGTCCCACGGTGATAATGGACTGAACCTCTGCAAACCACCCCAGCTAAATGTTTTTTGATTTTTTTTTATAAGAGTTGCCATGGTCATAGTGTCTCCTCACAGCAATAGAAGCCCTAACTAAAACAGGTCATATTTAGTACAAGGCACAAAATTCCTTCCCGCCTTGACAACGAAGCCTATCATCAACCTTGGAGCACCTATCCTCAGCACCAGCTGCAGTGCAGAGACCACAGATGTGCAAGGAGCTCCCTCCCACGTGCCCAGGGCCATGCTGTCTCTGGAAGTCATTTAAGACAGCTCCATACTCTAAGTTTCTAAGCATGGTGCATTCAGGGTCACTTGAGAGAGAATCAAGAGGGAACAGAAGCTGGCACCTCTTGCCCTACAGGTCTGGACCTGAGCCGCAGGACTTGGAGTTGAGGTTTTTCCCCAACATAGCCTTCCTCGCCACTTCTAAGACAAACTGTTTTCCATCTCCAGTTGGGGAAATGAGGCTGTTTACCAGTGCTGGTCAGCTGATAATCCTACACTCTGTTTATTTCCCAGAAGTTCCTGCCATGCCCTGAGGTGGCCATGATCAAGCTGATTGCAAAACTGCATCCTCAACTTCTTTATTTTGAGACAGGGTCTTACTATTTCACCCTGGCTGTCCTGGAACTTACTATGTAGACCAGACCTCATCTCAAAAAAGCAAACTTAAAAACAATTCAGAACAGGAATAAACATACTCCTGTTTGTTTTTCTTTTCTTTCTTTTCTTTTTCTTTTTCTTTTTCTTTTTTTTTTTTTGGTTTTTCGAGACAGGGTTTCTCTGTATTGTTTTGGAAGCTGTCCTGGAACTCGCTCTGTAGATCACGCTGGCCTTGAACTCACAGAGATCCACCTGCCTCTGCCTCCGGAGTGCTGGGATTAAAGGCATGGGCCACCAAAGCCCAGCTGTTTGTTTTTCAAGACAGGATTTCTCCGTGTAACAACCCTAGTTGTCCTGGAACTATCTCTGTAGACCTGGCTGGCCTCGAAATCACAGAGCTCCATCTGCCTCTGCTTCTGCCTCTGCCTCCCAAGTGTTGAGATTAAAGGTGTGTACCATGTGCACCACTATAGCCCTGCTAAACATACTCTTTAAAAAAAATATCCAAAGTTATGTGAAACATCTCAAGTCACACATCATCAGAATTTAGGGGCTGAAATGCTATATTAGAAACAAAGAAAAGTGCTAATTTCAATTTTACTTAAGGAACTAAACATAATAAAGAAAAAGGTTAGAGAACAGGGCTAGGGAAAAATGACTTAGCAGGTAAATCGCTGAAAGCACAAAGGCCAATGTTTGAATCCCCGAACTCAGGTAAAGCCAAGCACAGTAGCTCTTGTGTACTTCTTGACCAGATAGAAGGTGGAGACAGGAAAATCACTTGAAGCTTATAGGTCAGCTAGCCCATATAAACAGCAACAGAAACAAACAAAAGACAGACCCTGCACATATGCTCTCGAACACACATGTACACACACACACACACACACACACACACACACACACTCATGGGAGTGGGGGGCAGAAGAAGGACAGAATAATGGCTCAGCAGATAAGGGTACTTGCTGCCAAGCTTAAAACCTGAGTTTGATCCCTCAGACCCACATGTGGAAAGAAAAAACAAACTGAGCCCTACAAATTGCCCTCTGCATTCTACAAGCCCACAAGAGCAATGGCACCTCCTCCCCACCCTACTCTAACATTAAAAACAAATAACCAAAAGAAGAAAGACCAGAAACTACAAATAGAAAGCAAAGCTCCAGGGATGACCACTGCACAGGTATGCTTTGTGCCCTGCCCCTGGAGCAGTGAGAGTCATTTGGTCATGACCTGTTCTTGGGTGTGGGTGAATGGTGGGTAGGGTGGATATGACCATTTGTGAAACTATGAAGAGCAGGGGTCTACATGGGTGTCTTCCTCCATTGCTCTCCACCTTATTCTTTTCGAGACAGAGTTTTCCCTGATCCTGGTGCTTCCCAATTCAGCTAGACCGGCTGATCATCAAGCTTGAGATGCAGCTGTCTACACACACACACACACACACACACACACACACACACACAC